ACACATGCTAATTAATCTACCAGCCCCACAAACCTGGGGTGAACATATAAACTCCATGTGGATGACACCCCAGGAAGTAAACTGGGCCCCCAGCTCTGTGAGGCAGTGTGCTGCCCTGGTCTCTGGTCTCCCTCTGCGTGTGATGACACCCCAGCGATGCTCGATGTGCCCAGGTTGTCGTTCTTTCTGCTGTACAGGATCGTTTGCTCATGTTTCAGACAACCAGTCTGTGAACCAGCATTAGTAACCCTGACCCTGTGGAACTCGCCTTGCCTGATCCTCTTGGGAAAGGCGTGTGGGAGCTGGGAGTTCTTGCGCAAGTGGGAATGCCCAGCCCTGACTGTGCAGGGAAGGATCTGGACCCCCCTGACTCTGGAGTGGGGGCGTGCAGCCTGACGGGGGGGTTGGGGGTGAGGGGGGGTTAGGTGCTGCTTATTCCATGTGGGAGATAAGAGACTGGAATGCTGATCCGAGAGCTGAGAATCCGCCTTTCCCGGGCAGAAGTAAGGAGGAGTAGGTGGGCTGGAAGTCAATACTTGTGGGAGGCAGCTGAGCTGCGCGGTGCAGACTCATCCGAGAACCAGAAATTCGGAGGAGAATTCCGCCGTTTCCTCAACAGACTGTTGAATGCGGAGTATGAGAAGAAGGTTTCACCTTTCGGGCTTCTGTGGCATCCGGTTTTCATCCCAGACCTGCGTGCAAACCCTTTCTTGTAGGATACTCCATGATCACATGGCACGATGTCTGTCGTGCTTTCAGATTCAAGTGTGTGGAGGCTGGGCTGGGGCTGGGGGTGGGGGAGAGGGTTCGTCCGGCCGGCCGGCACGCCTGACCGCTGGGCTCAGGGACACTCGGAGCCTCTTGTGAGCCTTTAACCATGTTCTCCCTGGAGATCTGTCACTGGGGGGTATTAATCGCTGGAGTGTTTCAGAGGATGTTGAAAGGGAGAAATGACAAACGTGCAGTATTCGGTGAGCTTGCATTCGCTTCCTCTCGATTCACCCCTCCCCACTCGTCAGACTCCAGGCTGTCCTGAGTCACGAGCACTGAAACTGCACTGAAACTCTCACTAACAGCCCGGAGGGCTGTGTGCAAGCGTGCGTGTGTGTGTTGTGCAAGCGTGCGTGTGTGTGTTTACTCGCAGTCCTGCCCCAGTCCAGTCTGTGTTCATGCATCAGGGGCTCTTGTCCGGATGTTGACCGCCGGAGTCTGGGATGTAGGGAATTCATGTGAGGAGTACACTGTGGTTTGACACACCTGCTGGAAATGTACTGTGGGAAGCTGCAGAACCGGTCGGGCAGGTTTTAAAGCCGACGGCAGTGTACAGTGTGTTCCGAGATCCTGACTGCTCGTAATTGGGGAGGAGTAGCAAGGTCCATGGCTGTCCTTAAAATGTGGTGTGCCCTAGATCAGTACCCACTGTGAGTCAATGAAGCTTTGATTCTTTTCCTTCCTGTCTCGTGGAGGTCAGTTCTTTGGAAACTCTGATGAACTTCTGTGAAGGGCCCGGGGTCTCTGGGTTCAGTTTCGGGCAGGTCTGGGTTTGGACTCTCCCAGGTCCTTCTGTTCGCTGCATTCTGCACCTGCCTGGTGAGTCCCTCGTCTGGCTTGCTCAGTGGAAGTCTCCTGATGTTCGACACACAGGGGAGTAGGAGAGTGTAGTGCCCTTCACAGCGCGCAGTAACGGCAACACTGTTCCCCGCGTTGTCTGCCTGGCTGTGGTCGCTGGAGGCTGCTGGGAGAGTGAATCCCTTGTCTGTTAATGAACGTCGTAGAGATCTCTGGTCTGCCCTGCTGCTGTAGCGCTCGCTAACGAGTTGTCTGCAGGCGCGAGGGGCCGCTCGTTGCAGAGCGAGAGCTCCGGCGTTCTGGACTGACTTCGAATTCACACTCCCGGATTCCGGTGGGCCGGTGGCGGAGCCCCCACTGCGGGCGAGCTGTCGTCGGTGAAGCCACTCAGGATGCTTGTCTCCCGTCCCCAGGCGAGGAACGGCGGGCACGAGCAGGTGACCTTCCTGACCAACAAGGAGAAGATGGGCTCCAGGAAGCTGACGGGGGTGGTGCTGGGCATGCTCGCGGCTGTCCTCGTCCTCTCCGCCGTCACCGGGGTCCTCGTGTGGTACTTCCTGGGTAGGCGTGTGATCCGTCCGCCGTGCCGTGTCGGAAGGGTCTCTCTGGCTGAGCGGCTGTCTGACTCTGCTGCCCGGATCTCTCCCGCAGTCCGGCCCAGCGGCGGCGACTCCAGCGGCGGCGCCACCGGCAGCCCCCCGAGGACGGACGCCGTGCGGGTCTTCAGCGGCCACATGGTGCTCTCCAACCTGGCCTACAGCCAGCAGCTGGAGAACGCCGACGACCCCGCCTTCACGCAGCTGGCCGACGAGCTGCAGCAGATGGTGAGGGGAGCCTGTCCCGCCCTCGCCAAGCACCGCCTGACTCCAGAGCACGTCAGAAGGGTCGCAAACGAGAGGCGGTACAGCTGTTATCCCAGGAACAAGTTCCAAACTCCCACACCTCTTTGTGTAAAGTACTGCCTTAGCTGGTTGAAGTAGTAGCTGTTTTATCAGTGTATCAGTATAGCTGGACAGCTTGTGCCACACTCCCACTGCTAAAATCGTGCCTCCTGTTTTTGGTTTAAATGCACTTTCCGTAGGCTCCCCCCTGTGCCCTAGTCTGTATTGCTTGATCAGTATTCTGTGTTTGTATTGATCAGGGGAATGCAATGAAAAAATGTGCTTTGGATAGTGAGAGTGTCTCCCTGCAGACCCTAGATGGCTTCTGGGAGTTCAGCAGTTAACCCGAAGAGCCAAAAACGCTAGCAGCGTGAATTGTTGTTGTTTTGAAAGTGGAAAGTTCCGGGTGCTTGCTGCTTGGCGGGAGGGCGTCAGTGCAGGGGTGTGGGACATGTTGCAGTGTCCAGACTGACAAAGCCAAGGCCCTGAGAAACCGTAAGAAAGCGTTCAAGAAAACCTTTCTTAACTGGCTGCTCCCTCATCTGACACAACGCAAAACCAAGAGCCCAAAAAAGAACACAGATCCTCCAGATTTTCTGGTTTAAATATTGTGCATTTGGAACAGAAAGCAGTCCCCTGTGAGCAGCTGACCCCTTCCTGTCTGTGACCTAACAGACCGTATAACCTGACTTGGCAGCAGGCCATAGTTTGACAGTTGAACTGGTTTTTCAAGCTCCGAGAATGTTTTTATCCAGATAAACCTGTGACGTAGCAGGGTGTGTCTGGAGTGGGGGGTGGGCTGGAAATCTTAATGACTATTTCCCTGTGTGAACTAATTCTGTAATTTCTTGTTTGTGACCCCCAGCTAAAAGAAACCTACAGTAAGGATGACCTTCTGTCCAAGTACTACACCAAGTCTGTCATTTCTGCCTTCAGGTAACCTGTGTGCTGCCTGGGGGGGTGATGTTGATGGGATTGGGGGGTGTTTTGTGTTTTTCAAGACTTGTGTCATGTCTTGAGTAGATCCTTTGAGGACGTGGAATTTTAAATTAAGCCCCCTTGTAATGTTCTCCTTTAACCTTGAGCAGAGAAGACGTTCTTGACTTGAGCTCTTCCCAGTCAGCTGTGCTTTGCCTCTTAGTGGTCAAAGTAGGCGGTGTGGTGGCTCTGTGGCTCAGGACCTGCGCTTGTGGCTGGAAGGTTGCTGGTTCAAATCCCACGGCCGGCAGAACAATCCTACTCCATTGGGCCCCTGAGCCCTTAACCCCAACTGCTCCAGGGGCGCCGTATAAATGGCTGACCCTGTGCTCTGACCCCCCCACCTTCTCTCCCTGTCTGTGTGTCTCGTGGAGAGCAAGTTGGAGTATGCGAAAAGACAAATTCCTAATACAAGAAATTGTACTGTATATGGCCAATAAAGTGATCTTCTATATATCATATTATAATGTAAAAGAACCTCCCAGGCCTTGCTGGCCCTGATGATATTTGTGCTCTTGATCATTCTGCAGCAATGGCAGTGTGATCGCCTACCACTGGACCCAGTTCGACATCCCGGCCTCCGCCCTGGAGAGCCTGCCCGATTTCTCCGAAAAGCGCATCCTAGAGGTCCTGCGGGCCGGCATCAGGCAGGCGGGCAAATCCAGAAAGCAGGAGATCGTCATCAGTAGCATCACCTCTTCCGGTGAGTGTCCGTGCAGCAGCGTGGGACGTCACGACGCGTCTCGTGCGTGTGTGAGGTCGCAGTGGAATGTGTCTCCTTCCCCGGGTTGTGTAGGACTTCGCTCACGGCAGTCTGATCTCTATAAAATTCTCAATTTGGAAGCTTTACGTGAGATATGTAAAGAGCAAGCAGTGACATGGTCACCCCTGTGAACGAGTAGCGCAGAGCAGAGCAGGGCAGTGCCTCCCAGTGTCCAGCGCTCTCGTGCCGGACTGAAATTCGTCTCACTGGATTCTCTCTCTCCAGCTTTTCAAGTATTTGTATTTTACGTTCCCACTGTGTTTGGGGTTTAATCTTAATCGATTTACGCTAAACTCGGGGCCCTTACGAAGGTCGGGGAGCAGGGGTAGGGGGCAGGTGAGGGGGCTTTGTCCGTTTGTGCGGCGCGAGATATCCTGCTGCATCGCGAGTAAACTATCTGACGAAGAGCCGTCCGATTCGTGAGGTCAAGGAAATCTCTTTGTCTTCCGGTTGCAGAGACCGACCCCAGGATGGTCAGGAACCCGAGAGGCGGTAAGTCTCCCCCCCATCCCGATCCCTCTCCGGTGGTTTCTCGGCACGCCTGGCGAGCTGTGTCTGGAACGTGATCGTCCTGCCTGGCTGTCTTTCCTCCAGAGGAATGTTTCCACATGCTGGTGGCCGGCGATAAGGTCCAGACTTTCCAGTCGCCTGGGTACCCCGACATGTACCCTCCCAAAGTGCGGTGCCAGTGGCAGATCCGGGCGCCCCAGGGCACTGCCATCCACCTCTCCTTCCCTGTCTTCCACGTGGAGGACGACTGCAAGAACGACTTCGTCTTCGTCTACGACTCGCTGAGCCCCGACGAGTCGCAGGCCATCACGAAGTACGTGTGCCCGTTTTGTGGTCCCTTCCCAGCCTCCCTGTCTTCTGCCGCTCGCTGGGCTGTGACAGTGGCGCAGGAGAACAGGAACAGGAAGCGCTTCGGAAAGGAGGAGAGCCTCGAGGGATTTTCCGTGGGTTTGGGGTGCGGGGTGTGTCCAGAGCAGAGCAGCTCCAATGCCCTTCCTCACTCTTGCCCCCCCAAGCCTTGGGATACAGGAATCCCCCCTTGTGAGCTGAGACGTGAAGAACCATTTGGCAGTTCCATTCGGATTGGGTGCAAAATGGAAAATCCCAGAAACAAATTGACAAAGCAGTCTGGGATCCATTTTAGCATCACTTATTGATTTCCTGAGCTCCAAAGTGAGTTTGGGCCAAGCGGATTTTGAAATCTTCTTATGATCCAGTGCCTTAAGACCTCCCCTGTCCCTTGTCCTACAGGCAGTGCGGTCAGCGCCCACCTAGCAACACCCTGGAAGTGATCTCCTCCGGCAACATCATGCTGGTGAACCTCATCTCAGACGGTGACACCCAGAGGCCAGGATTCACTGCAGAGTACCAGCGTGTCCCGCTGACCACAGGTAGCCCACCACCTCTCCGACTGCTCTTCAAGCTGAGGACCAAGGCGCAGAGCTCTTGTTGTAGCCTCTGTTGATGTGCAGGATCTGTGTGACGCGGGGTCACCCTCTCACCTTTGACCTCCTCTGTCTGCAGTGTGCAGTGAGGTTCTGAAAAACCAGAATGGGAACATCAGCTCTCCGCACTACCCCAGCTTCTATCCCCCGTCCCTGGACTGCAAGTGGACCATCGAGGTACAGCAGGGCCTCTTGACGGCTCTCTGACTTTTCTCTATATCCCTCTCGCCACTCTAACGTAGATCGTGGGGGAGCTGGAGTGTATCCCAGCAAGCAGCAGGAGCAAGGCAGGGCACCCCCTGGACAGGACACCAGTCCATCACAGGACGCACACACACTCACACACCCTGGACAGGACACCAGTCCATCACAGGACACGCACACACACTCACACACCCTGGACAGGACACCAGTCCATCACAGGACACACACACACACTCACACACCCTGGACAGGACACC